TATTTTAAAATTGAGAATCGATTCTAGATTCGATTAACGATTAATTCGATTAACATAGAATCGATTCCCACCCCTAAGCCAGAGCTGTAGCTTCAGAGGCCAAGTTGAGCTATTAAGCTGAATACAGTAAAAACCCTGTTTAGAGTGCTTAAATAAATGCTTAACGTTAATACTGCATAATTTTTTTTCTTGCACCGGTATTTTTTTGGGGGGGATTTACAAATGAAGGCCCAAAAATGTAAAATAATTACATATAAGGGCCCTATTTTAACAGTTTTTACTATATCTCATGACACCGTCAATGAAATTTGACAATTTTGATACCATTCGAATCGTCTCATTAAGACGCATTGAATGGTAACAAAATCGCAAAATTTTAATTACTGGATTACGAGTTATTTAACATTTGCTAGAGTCTCTTTAAATAGTAATATCTTGTTTCTGTCATTAAAATTTGGCGGTTTTAGTACCAGTCGATCTGTCTCGACGAGACGATTCGAATGGTATCAAGATCGCTAAATTTCGTTTACTGTATCGTGAGATATAGTAAAATTTGTTAAAATAGGGCCCCTATATGTAATTATTTTACATTATTGGGCTCTTATTTGTAAATTCCCCTTTTTTTAAAAAAAGATTAGTCCATTAATGTTTTGGTTCTGTTTCACAGTTATTGGCTATTTAAATCTCTAATAATTCATTGGCTAGCTGAGGAATTCAAATCAATCATATGATATTGGTTATCGAGGTTAGCAAATTATATAATATACTTTTTTTTATTAATTGTAAATTTGATATTTTAACTGGTCTCAAGACCAAGGATTGAATGACAGTGAGACTGTTAAAAGACTACACCCTACTCAGTCTTTTCGGAACCTGTGTATACTTTAAATTATTTCATTTAGTGAGCAAGAATAATATGATGTATAAAGTCATGTCAGTTAAATAAATAATTTACAATTTGCAATTTGAATATAAATTATTAGTGTATCCGTTTCTGGTGTTAGCTCAACTGTGTTGCGCAGCTATTTTATGTGGTAAACAGCAATTACGTATATATTCTAGTATACAAATAAGTATAACGAATTTATATTTTATTATACGCATTTTTGTTATACTACTCAACTTCTTTTGTAGTTCAGACTATACATTACCTACCAAAAAAACTAAATCCTAATAACACAAATTGAGCCCTTTAAGTTTATTAATTAAAAGTTTGCAAAAACAAAAGTATTCTCTCGAAATATGGAAAATTAACAAATAAGTGTAGATTTTGTAAAAAAGCGAAATATCAAAAATGCTACTACTTATATTAATGTGTTTGAATAAGATATTTTAAATGACAAATCTTGTATCAAAAAACGGATTCCAATATTATTTAGTAGATTTAAAAAATTAAGTCTGTACTAATTCAAGAAAGATTATGATTAAATAAAATAATATTAAACTTATTAAAAAGTAATATTACGTTTTTCACAGAAAGCAATGGAAGCTTCTAATTTTTTTCTTGCTGCAAGTTTAATCCAATTGATACCCTCTTCCTCATTTTTATCAATGCCTTTACCATGATAGTACATTAACCCTAAATTATGCATTGAAGCTTCATGACCTTGATTCGATGCTTTAATGAAATATTCTGTTGCAATTTCTGGCTTTGTTTTAGAAATACAAATTGCATACATATATTGCGCTTCTACTATATTCGCTTCGTCTGCAGCTTCTTTAAAAGATTCAGTGGCAAGTTGAATTCGTACTTTGTCTGTATATGAAAAAGTAATTAACTTGTGATAAAGATAATAACCTTTCCAATATTTTGCCGTGAAATCATTGGATTCAGCAAATGATTTAATCGTTTCCCAAGCTTTCTCTTTAGATCCATTTTTGCTCCTTGTTTGTCTAATTGCTTCTTCTAATGAAAATGTTCCACTAACTGGTTCACTAACTGATTGCGTTGTAATATTGTTATTTGTAGTGATAGTCTCATTTATTTTTCTAAGTTTTCTATGCACTTCATTTAAACTTGGGCGGTCTATCGGTTTATAACTAGTGGCTAAGAAAAAAAAAATAATAATAATAAATTAAATTAATCCATTATATAAGTATTTCCTAAATATTTTTTAAAAATTTTTAACCTTCAAATACAAGTTCTTTCCATTTATTTGGCACATCGTTACTTGAGAATTCTAAATTCATCGCATTATCTAATATTTTTTGACTGATTGCAAGAATCGTAAGATTAGTTTCAAAGAAAGGAACTTTTTGTTCTGCAATTTCCCATAAAAGCATTCCGAAGCTATATGATTTTTTTTTTTAAAAAAAAAAAAAATAGTATTAATTTCGATTCCTTAGTAAATACTAATTAGATTCTTTAGCAAATATGAATTATTTCAAATTTACCTAAACACTTCACATTTTGAAGTATAACTTGTTTTTTGATGATCTTTGATCTTTTCTGGTGCCATATATCGAACGTAATCCATAGAAAGATCAATGCTTCTTGTTGCTTTAGTAAATCCACGACTCAATCCAAAGTTTGCGAGTTTTGCACGTTCTGTATAATCTATCATTACATTCTCACTTCTTACGTCATGATGATAGATTTTAAGTGCTTCAAGAAAACAAAGTCCACGTGCTATTTCTAAAGCAAATTTAGTTCTAATAGCAATATCAGGATTTTTGGCTTGATAATATTCACGCAAGTTTCCATATTTGGCCCATTCAGTAACGAGAAACTTTTTATTGTTAATTGTAACAAGACCAAAATATTGAATGATGTCTCGTGACTCATTGATAATTTTCAAGAGCCCGATTTGAAGTTCAAGATTTTGTATTTGCTTGTTTGTTTCTGTATCTATTTCTTTAAGCGCTACCTCAGTATCACTATGAAGTTTGTAATACCATTTTTGAACTTTGCCACGAATTTCATCTGGTGTAGTAAAATCCTCAGGATTAAGAAGAGCCTTATCGATGAGTTCTTTATTAATAAGATCTTGACCTTCTGACTTGTCAAATGCATCTTTGCACTTTGTGAACATTTCAATATTTTGTATGGATGATGAAAGGCTTAGCATTAATTCTTTCATATCCTCCATATCCTTATTTAATGCAATAGATTCTTTTCTATTTATTGCTAATTGTAAATTTGCACCAATATTTAATGCAAAATTTAATGATTTCATATAACGATCGAATTCAGAAGTAATTTCTTCAAAAGTTTGCTTAATAGAATTTGATTGTATAAATTTTTGAAATTTACTGAGATTTTGAATTTCTTTTATAAAATTTTCAATTCTTTTCATTACAAATTTAAAATTTCTTAAAGTTATATTATTCTCTTTAGTAAAAAATGTAGTAATTTCAGGAAAATCTTTTGCGTAAACTTCTAATTTATTTATTGAAGCTAATGCATCTTGAACTCTAATAATTAACATACCACAAATTCTTCTATTATACTTTGCATCTTGATATAATTTTATGAGTCCACAAGCTAGCTCACCTATTTCTCCAAATAAAGGGAGGAATTGGATAGCAGGAATGATTGTTCCTGAGGCAGTTTCTACAATTTCTAAAGTACCATTAAAAAATGGTTCTGTGTCAACGAATACTTGTGCCATGGTTTCGATTTTATTCTCTTCAGAAACAATTTGTTCTGATTCAGAAACCAATACATTCGTTTCGATATTTTCCATATTACGTTTTCTTTTTTATTTTATCAAGTTACGGAGTAAAATCTCAGAAATTTCTAATTTATTACCTCATTTAACTTCTATTACATGTGTGTCACGAGAAGGAAATACCAAAAATTTGTCCTACTCCAGAGTACTACAGACCAATGCCCAATGTAGTGTTTTAATTTATTTGCCAATTAAAATAAAATAATCTATTTATAGAATTAAAAATTGACGTATACTTTAAAAAAAAAAAAGATCCAAAAAATCAAACCTTTATAAATAAAGAATTAAGTTATTTTTAAATATAGCAAATTTTAAATAACATAACTAAAATCATATAGTTATTAAAACTCAAGTTTGATAGCTTGAGTTCTTGTAAGTATTTAGACTAAATTTGCATAATTAACGGGAGTTTCATAATTAATTTGTGAGCATCTAATTTCATCTTTAGTCAATTCTTATTTATTTAATAATTTTTACTATCAATGCGGTTTTAAAACTATTTTGAACTACTATTACATTCATACCCCATTTCTTTCTCTTACTTAATTGCAAGTTTGATTTTTAAACTCCTACTTATTTCTATTTTCGGAATACGCCATTTTTTCCGAAACCCCAATTATAATACCGGTATGTCTAATTATTCCTTGCGCGAGTTCTTTTGCTAGTTAATATTTTTACCATTACTTTTTTTTACAATAATACGAAGTATCAAATATTTATAATTAATATTTATAATTTAACATTTAAACTAAAAAGTTTAGGTTTTAAAACCTTTTTTAATTCATTTGCTGTTTTTTGATCGAGTTGCTCGGACCTTAAATCAATTTTTCGTATAGATGCATTGGTTTCTAAAGCTTTAACTAAAGCTTTTGCAATTTGAGAATTAATATAATTTTTACTTAGATCTAACTCGATAAGTTTTTGGTTTACGCCTAAAGCTTCAACCAAAACTAACCCAATTTCAGGTTTAAATATGGTTTCAATTAGAAATAAATGTGTAATCGTGTTGTTGTTTTTTAAAGTCCTTGCCAAAGATCTTGCTTCATCCATATCAAATTCTCTATAACTTAGATTAAGTTTAGCGAGTGTTTTATTTGTCTCTAAAACATCCACAAAGCTATTCATTGAAACGCCATTATAACTTAGATCTAAATCGATAAGAGTGCAATTTGTTTGTAAAGACTTTTTCAAGGCTTGTACAACATTGATAGAAATATTACAATCGCTTAAATTTAAAATTTTGAGTGTTCGATTTTTGGTTAAGGACTTTTCAAGTTCATGTCCCATTCGTCTTGCGCCTTTAATGTTGCTCAAATTCAATTCCTCGAGATGCGTATTTTCTTCCAAAGATTCTATTAAAGCTACTACTGCAGAATTATTAATGTCATTATGACTCAAATTTAATGTGCGAAGTTTGATTTTATTGGCCTTCAACAAATAAGCTATACATGTTACTGTTTCGGAATTAATCTTTGTTGACTTTAAATTTATGCTAGTTATAGTGTTTTTTAAAATTTGTAATATTTGATCTCCTAATTCGGAAATAATATCATTGTCGCCTAAATTTAATTCAGTAATATATTTATTGCAATGCAAACTTCTTAATAAATTTTTTCCTGCTTCGAGACTAATATAATTGGAACTCATATCCAACTTTTTAAGAGTTTTATTTGCTCTTAACGCATTCGACAAATTTTTTGCACTCAAAGAACTGACTACTCTGTCGTAGCTGTATATTCCCGTTAAAGATGGTCTGCTCGTTGATGGTTTAGTTGTTGATGATTGGCTTTTTAATAATTTTTCCGTTAAAGACGTTCTTCCTTTTTCCAAAGACTCTACTGAAGCAATAATCTTATTTGATCTCAAATTTAAACTAGTAAGAGTTTTATTTGAATTCAAGATGTCTGCTATTAAACTTTCTGATGTAAATGTAAGATTATTTAAACTTAGATTCAATTCTTTAAGAGGAATATTCGATAATTTTTTCAATAATTTTACCAACTCTGTTACTACTTCAGCATTAATATTACAATTGCTCAAATCTAAATTTCTTAAGGATTTATTGTTTTTTAAATCAATAAATTTTACCGAAGACCAATCAATAGTATTGTGGCTCAAGTTTAAACTGACAAGAGTCGTATTTCTCGTTAAAGCATCCACTATACTTTTCCCTCTTCTGCAAAATTTATCACCATTATGGCTTAAATCCAACTCCTTAATGCGGGTTTTATTACCTTTTAACATCTTCAACAGATTAATGAGTACTTCTGACATAAGATAAGTCGATTTTAAATTTAGGTGAGTGATAGTATCGTGATTTTCTAAAGCCTTCACAATATTCTTTCCAATTTCTAAACCAATATCATTATCACTTAAGTTTAAGTGGGTGATAGTCTTATTGGAATTTAACTCTTCGACCAAATGTTTAACTAATACACTATCAAGTTTCTTGTAGCTCAAATCCAATTCGTTGATAATAGTATTTTCATAGATTGGCATTAAGTCCTCGCAAATAGTTTGACCTATTGCCCTCAAATTATTATTTTTTTCGTCATTATTATCTTCAAAATATAGAACTTTCCAATGAAGTTCAGGAGTCTCGACAGGATTTTCATGGTTATAATCTTCGGCTACATTATTAATATCTTCTCTAGCAAAAATATTAGCATTTATTATTCCATCGTTGTAATTTTTAGCCTTTACCGTAAAATATTGCTTGAGGTTTAATTTAGGGTATGCAAATGAAGTAACGAGAATCGCATCCGAATGTAAATTCGGAGTTTTTAATTGAATATCAATTCCTCCTAACTTGGGGACAAATGGGTATCTACCTGCAAATAAAATGGAGATGTTTCGTGTATTTGAGCTATAAATCCCAATTTCAGCTGGTATTCCGACTAAAATCCAAGATATTTGTAAATTCTTGATTTTATCCTCTCTAAAGGAAAATATGCCAATTACATAGTTAGAAAAGATTAATGATTGAAAAAAAAAGGAAAAAAAGCAAGTGTAGCAAATACTTACGAAAAGGTTTCAACTATTGCTTCGAACTCAAGATTAGTCTTGGATTTAAATTTAACATCAGCATTATCAAATAGAGTTCCATCTTGCTTAATGATTTTTCCAAAAATTTGATAATTTTTTGATTCTAGAGGATATTCAAAATTTACATTATAATTTTTCGAATTTTCAATTTGTATTAAACCTGACATGAGAACTTTTTCTTTTATTCCAGATTCATCACTACCGATAATCATTTTGACTTCATTACGTAAATTTTCATCTAAAATTTCGTATAAGGGATATATTTCTTTCCAACTGATAATTTGCCATGAATTAGAATCACCTTTTAGACAAGAAATTGCCCAATCTTTTACAACATTTTTTTTAACAGGATCACCAGTAATTGAAATTAATGATGATGAATCAAATTTTTGAAATTTCATATGATTTTCCCATATATTAATAATGTCATTATACTTTTCAGATGTAAAATCATCAACTGTCGTAAATTTTTCAAGCATTACATATCTAGGAGATCTTTTACTCATGTTAGAACAGTTTAAATTTTTTGACATTGAATATAATTTATGACCGAGTACGATCTTCTTAGGTAAGAAATGACCAAAGTTTTCGAATACTTTTATCAGCTCTCGATAAGGATTTTTGTCTTTTAAAGCATTCTTAACTGCATTAGTTAACTCTTTAGATGGTGATGATTTTGAAAAAAGTATCAATTCAACTCTTGGACAGTTTATTTCAAAATAAACGACATCTACAAATGAGTTGTTGATTAGATGATCTGCATCAGGTATCCAATCAAGATTTTTGAAATCTATAGTAGACGAATCAATATGATTTTCTAAAAAAAAGGAATCCCTATATTCAGATGAAATTACTAATTTCCCTTGAAAATCTCTAGTACTTAAATAATTGATTTCTGGAATTTCAAAGTCACATGCAGGAGAAACAGCCATCTGCACTTTTTTCGCATTAATAATAAAACCATGATTTAAATTTAAATTTTTACTTTTAATAAAATTTGCCAAATCCAACAAATTTTGTGGTTTCGAAGTCTCTGATAGTGTATCTGGAATTTTCGTATCATTAAGTTCTGATAACTTATCGTCATAATCACTACTTGATAGTTCTTCATCTGAAGTTTTGTAATATTTAATAGTCTGACTTAAATCTTCACTATCGATTAGTTGATTTAAAATATTAAGAATTAAATTTGCTTCTGGACGATTGGTAGGCTCCTTGTCCCAACATTGTTTGTAAAGTTCAACATAGCTGAGCGGTGTACCTTCTATAGGCTTTTCTCTATCGCCTCGGGAAATACGGACAGCAAGTGATAAGAATGACTCATAAATCTGGAATGGTGGTCTACCACTTGAAATTTCCCAAAGAATTACTCCAAAGCTATATACATCTGATTTCTTATTACGCTCATATTTATGGCTAAGAAGACATTGGGGTTCAACGTATGCCAGCATTCCATTAAGATTTGAGTTTGAATTCATTGATTGCTCATTTACTGGTAGTGTCTGATTTTTTATTTGTATCTGTTTTGATAGTCCAAAATCTGCAATCTTCGGTTGTCCTTTATGAATTAAAATGTTCTTTGAATGCTAAATAACCAGTGAATTGCATTAGTGATTTAAATTTTATAAATATGAAATATAAATCATAAGATACATACAAGGTCTCTATGAATAATTTTATTTTCATGTAAGAATAATAAACCAAGCATTATATCCTTAGCAAGACATAATTTATTTATCCATTTTAAACTTGTAAAATTTGTTTTTAGATATTCTCGTAAATTTCCTTCATTAGCATATTGCAAAACCATATTATACTGTCCATCGGTGCCTATAATATATGTATATATATTTAATCGAATTATCGCATCATATTTTAAAATTAAACAGTTTATACCTTTAGTGACACCATGGAAAGTAATAATATTCGGATGGGATGATACTTTTTGTAACATTCTAAGCTTTATTAAATGAATTATAAGGAATTTAACTAATAATTCTAATATTTAAGTTTTAATATTTATAATAAATACCTCATTAATAAAGTCTTTAATAATTTTTTTATCCAAATTTTTATCGACTTTAAGACATTTAAAAGCGAAAGTTAATTCACATTCTTTCCATTCATATTTATAAACTTCTCCAAATCCTCCTGTACCGATTATTATACGATTTGTAAATTTATTATATTCAAAATTATTAATATGTCCATCTGAGATAGCACTTTCGAGCCATATTTCTGAAATTTCTGTCATAACTTTACTAATAATTTATTTTTTGTCTTAATCAAGAATATATAAATACTGTATAACTTATATTGCTTAAGCAGATCGTATCTTTATTCCCCTGATTTAGATTTAGTGCGGGGAAAAAGTTATTGCGTACATAAGTGTCCATTATGGATTTACATCAGTATCACTCATAACAATTGATAGTTAAATATTTGCGTATCCCTATTTGATCCATTTTTTGCCGATTTCTTAAATGTTTACATAAGAACACCTTTTGTGTTATAATTAGGGTTGTGAAATTACCGTAATTTTACGTAATTTTGTGTAATTTTTCGTAAGATTCGGTAAATCGGATTTACATGGAAATGTAATTTTAATCACATGATATGTAAAGTTTACTAAATTTTTCGTTCGCTAATTACTGAATTTTGTCGTAATTTTGATCACACGATATCGAATACGTAATTATTCGTTCGCTTAATTATTTTTGTCATACAAAGCATAGTTTTTAAAATATAAAATAAAATAAAATAAAATCGAAGCTAAAAAATTTTATAACTAAAAATGGTTAAAAAAAAGAAAGTTGAAATGTGGGATCAATATACTATGCGAATAGACGAAAAGGGAAAAGAACGTTACAAATGCAAAGCATGTGGTAAGGAAGCAGCAAAAAAATGCAACAAGATTACAGGAGCATTTGGATATATGTTCTTTGCGAAATTCAACAATAAATGAAGCTTCAAATGTTAATAAGAAACAAAAACAATTAACATCAGATCATGATCAGAGTGAATTAGAATCTTTACTTGTCTGTGCCTTTTTCACTTCAGGAATTCCATTTAATACAATCGAAAATCCAAATTTCTGTGCCTTTCTTGAAAAAGCTTGTCCTGCTTTTAATATCTCATCACATTTTACTCTTTCTTGTTCTCTTCTTAATAAAGAACATGTCAATTTAAAAGTAGCTGTTCAAAATGTTCTTGATGAATCACTTTACCATTGTCTAGTTAGTGATGGTTGGACAAACATTAACAAATCATCTGTAATAAATTATATGATCGCTACACCTGCACCAATCTTCTATAAATCAGTTCACACATGTAAAGAACATCACATAGCTGAAAACATTGCTAATAGGATTAACAATATGATACAAGAAACTGGAATTAACAAATATGTTGGTATTATTACAGATAACACAAAAAACATGAAGGCAGCTTGGAATATTTTAAAAGTTAAATATCTAGATAAAGTTTTTATCAGATGTTGAGCACATAGTATCAATCTTTGGGTTAAAGATGTTCTCAAAAATAAATAGCCTGCATATGTTTTAAAACAAACCAAAGAGTTAGTTCTGTTTTTTCATAACTATCTAATTCCATTAGCTGTTTTATATTGTCTGCAAAAGGAAATTTATAATACCAAAATTGCATTTGTTATGACTGTTGATACAAGATAGACATCAGTTTTTGAGTATTTTGATCATATTTTATGAGTTCAATCTGCAATATATGTAGTGTTAACTGAAAAAAATGTTGAAATAAATGACAACATTAAAGATACAATTTTGGATCATGAATTTTAGTTAAACCTTAAAAAATTATGGGATTTTTTAGAACCTTTTATTAATTTTATACACTGTTTAGAAAGTGATGAGCCATATCTTTCTTCAGCATATAAAAATTTACAGGAATTAAAAAATACTATCATAAATAATTTGCAAGTTCCAGAAGAATTGCAAAATGAAACTTTGCAAGCTGCTAGATCTAGATGGGTTAATATTTTATACAATTCTGCAGTTATTATTGCATATACACTTGATCCAAGATATCAGAGTGAAGATCTTGATTTTGAAATATGGGGAGATATTATTAATAAGGAAGTAATTTAAATTGCCAGTATTGATAATGATAATGAAGATCAAGTATTAAATGAATTAGCTGAATATCTTGAAAAATCAGAAGATTTTGCAAAAACCTATTTATGGAATAACTTTACCTTAAAACCACTTAATTAGTGGAACTTAATGAGCATATAGTATCCAATTTTAGGCCAAATTACACAAAAAATCTTATCTATTCTAGCAACTTCAGCATCTAGTGAGTGCAATTAGTCTGCTTATGGGTTTATTCATTCAAAATTATGTAACAGACTGCTTTCTAAAAAAGCAAAAAAACTTGTTTATATATATTAAAATACTCAAATTCTTCATCAATTAAAAAAACCTATTTTAATTACGAATCTACAAAATAATAAAACTCATAATATTAACATTAATAATTTAGACAACCAAGAACTAAGTGATGATATGCTGGAAGAATATAATCTTGCAAATTTTTCTAACAATCTTCTTAATATGTTAGACGATAGTGAGTATGATGAATTTGATTACTCAATT